TGCAACTTTCAGCAGCATCAGCAGGATGGTCAACTATGAGGGACATAGAGATTTGTAATTCTGCAACATTTGAAGAGCCATGGATCTTTCCTTGCCTGCATTAGGATGTTATCTAGAAAGCACTACAGTAATCAGGCTCCAATTTCATTGAATTGTTTCAATAACTCGACATCTTACAAAGGACTTAAGCATGCAGTCCAGGGCTGTGTTCACGTAATATACTAAGCCAAGGTGGTGGATGGTGTATGAATAACATAACACACTAATTCAGAAGTGAACTGAAACATACAGTATTATGGTTTAGTATGAGAAATGAATTCATGTAACTCATGATGCACTATTAAGCCATTTTTCTATCTCCTCTACCTGAATGGGCAATGTTATTTGTGTCCCCTACAGTTTTAGTCCAAGTAGAAACATGGGTAACCAAGAAGCAACCTTATGTTCTACTACTAATATAGCCCTGAGGAGTCCTTACTAGGCATCTGAAGAATCTCAGAGTTGTCCAGGAACAGTATGAAAACCATTAGCCTAAAGGCATCCACCCTCCTCTTGCTACCATAAACTCCACAGAGACTTGATTTCCCGCAATTCATAAAGGCAACAAGCTTCTCTTGAGCACTCATCTTGTTCCAGATAATTATAGCACTTCAAATCTATTTGCATGGTAAACCAAAATAAAAATAGGTTCCCCGTAACCAGAATTATAAGTCCCCAAACCAGAAATATAACAAGCCAGAATTAGCTCAATACCATAGGCTAGACATTCTCCCCATGTCCAGCTTTTCTTTCTTCATAAAGGCTCTGTTTGCTTAACTGTGCTGCTAAACTAAACGTATGGTTAATCGTGGGGGCCATTTTAGATTACATACTCCATGCCTCTTTAGCTTGCTATGTCATCCAAGCACAGAACATTGATCACATTGGGTCTGGTATCAACCTACAAGCCTGGATTTTAAGTTATACTTTGAGCACAAGTAAAACACTCCCTGCCAAAGTATCTACCTTAGGAAACATTCTCCCGCCCTCAAATCTACTGACTTTTGGTATGTCCTTAAAAACCTGTCTCTATGCTCAAGTCTGAGGCCTTGAGTATGTGAAGGTAGACTTTTATTGGTTAATTTAGTGATATGATGAGTGATGTATTCTCGGTTGCTGCGTATTTATCTTTTANGGTTTTTTTTCTAAAGGGTTAGGGGTGCAAGTGTCTTGTAACTTGACAGCTTTAAGACTTGCGTGCTTCAAATGCCAGAGTTTTTGAGCCAACATTTTGGTTGCTAAGCGCCAAGCCACTCCCATTCAGTCACATGGTCGGCAAGCCACTCCCACTTGGTCACATGGCTGGCAAGCCACTCTCACAAAGCAGGCCACACCTACAGAAGAGGTTCTAAAAAAAATTGAATCCCACCACTGGTATATAGGTATGTATGTACACACATATGAATTTGTACCTTGCACTAAAGGCGTTGTGTAGTTTGTGTGGTTTTAAAATTATGAAGGAAAGGATTATTTAACAACTCACAATTAAGCCATGGTTATTAAGATCATTGAGTCAATGCAACATGGTTAAGACTCAGATGGATGCTCAAGTTGTGCCTCATGTTGATGCTAACACCAGACACAGCGGATCCATGGTAAAGCAAACTGAATGTATAATTTCCACAACAGAGTAATGAGAGAAACATGTCCATCAAGTTCATTATTAATTCTATTTCACAAAAAGGCCAGTTCCATTGATATGCAGGCTGAGATCTCCTCCTCTGCATACAATGGCTTTATTTCTGTTACTTGCATTCAGGTAAACAATGCAAATGAGTGAACATGTATGTAAAATAACTTCTCATAATAATCTAAGAGCCATATTTTTGTATTATTCCAAATCAAGGAAGGTTCTTCAATCAACCTACATCTTAAGAGCAATATTGTTCGCACAAATGGTTTGGGAACAGAAAGAGCCTAAATATGAGACCCGAGTCAGAGAAACGCTGGATAAAACACAGAGCTTTCTTAAAATCAGTTTTTGTGCCTAAGGCAGCACCCGCCCATTGGCTACCATTACAATCCTAAACATTCTTCCCACCTCCCTCTTCCTCCCTCAATTAGGACAAAAACGGATTTAATTCCAATTTAACTCAATGTAAATTCAAAACAGTTAATGGGATTACTCCCCAGGTACTTGATAATTTCCACTTCTATAACAAATTACAACTGCAATTTGGTCACAAATTTTTGCAAGGGCTCTGGGGATTGCACCTAAAGCTTCTGCTGGCTACATTTGGCTCTGAAGTCAAACAGAAATCCATTGGTTTTAATGAAATTTATTTCTAAAGAGCACCTTTGTGATGGGAAAGTAGAAGTTTTTCAGATGGAGTAAAATCTGTATATTGTACATCAGTGGGGCAAAAGGTACAGTCAAGAAGTGGTCTATCTACAGCCTACCAGCCTTCCATAGTGATGCTGCCAGAGCATGACATGAGGCCTTTTTTTTTAAAGTAATTTGGAGAGGAAAAGCGAAGGAGCAAAATTGGTGCTTCAAGTTTTGCAGAGACTTTTTCAGGCTCACAAGATCTTCAGGGGATTCTGGCCCAGCCCCTTTGGAGTGCGGCACTTGACGTGCCAGGCAAGCCTGTAACTCTCCGGCCCACAGACAGTGCACTCATCACCATCATGCCCAGATACCATCAGACTCATTTCCAGACATGCATCCGTATACCTACATTGTGACACTTCGCCGGAACAAATTCTATTTATATACAGCTACTACCCACACCCACATCTTTACTGTCATACAAATTCAATATTGTCAATATCTAAATAGGATTGCACACCTATATCACAGTTGCATCTGTTCATCAGTGCACAGAAAGATGAATTTCCTCCACACTTACTGTTGGGTAAACTGATCACTAGAAAACAGGCAGTTATACATGCACCAAATCCATAAAACCAAATTTTAGCCCAAATTAAATTCAATTACAAACGCCCTAGAAATACAGCAATATAATGAAGACATTTTCAAAATTATATACGCAAGTTATACATACAATTTGGATTCACGTGGTGGGAAAAGTGAGGAACGTACATCCTTATACACAAAGCTACAGAAGTAATTGCAACTCCACTTTAAATCTAAAAGATGCCTGCTGATTTGTCCTTAAGTGGGCTTTTAGGACTCACGAATGTATATATTCATAAACAGCATATGACACACAAAGATCTTCTCTTCAGCATTTCAGGCCTGCTTCTCTCTTCCACCATCCTATAAGTTCAGCCTGCCTACTTGTATATATTTCCATCATCCAATAAATCAGAATGATTTTTTAAAAAATGTGACCCAGGTTCAAAGACAGGCTGCCCAGGGAGGATAAAAAAGCTAGAAATCCTTCTGCTGCTTACCCATACCCACCCCAAATATGGACAAACACAATTAATAATCCAAATTTAGCCTGCCTCCTTCTTGTCAGGTTCCTGCCCATCCTCTTTATTACAGTGGCTTTAATGTGCCCATTCATTGATTGTAAAAACCGTCAGCTCCTTCTTTTGGCTATGGAGAAGACACGGAGGAATATATAAATATGTGTTTTAAAGTCCCTCCTCCCTACCCACCCACCCTGTTTCTTTTAAATTCACAACATAGGCATACAAGGTCATTCGGCGAATCAACAATAGAGATAAGCGCTTCAAAAGGCTGGAAGTCTTAATTCTCAATTCCTGCTTTTTGCCCCCCACCTTCCCAACCCCAGGTGGAGAGATAACTTAGGTGCCTCAACGCCCTATATACCCACACACTCAAACCACACTTCTTGCCACAGGGGAAACTAATCCACGCCCCAATCTTCAAGGGAAGCAACCAACCAACCAGGCTAGCCAACCTGCATTTTCCCTAGCTGACAAGGCCTTTCAGGTTGCCAGGGGATAGCCTTGCTTGTGGGTTGGGGGTCACACAACTCCCACCCACCCCCACCCCACCAACACATTTGCTACAAGTCCCTTACATCTTCCTATAAGCTGTGGAGGTTCCATCTTCCTAGGCAGGCACACATACTCCCAGACGGTGTTGTTGTTGAGGGGGGGGGACGGACAAAAAAAGGGGGGGGGAGACGACGAGGAGCCTTGTTTATGGCACAGGCTGCCTGAGAACACATGGATGCCATAGAAACCACATCCTGGAACCCCACCCTCCAAGAACACCCAGTGAGGGGTGGGCTCAGAAGTCTTCTCTCACCCTGGGAAGCATCAGGAGGGGGTTAAAAAAAAAAAAACCAGGCCTTTTTGGCGTGGTTCTGACTTGAAGCCCACGTCTAAAATCTCCCCACTGCGACTTCTTTCCAGAAAGGGGAGAGAGAGAGACCACCCCCAGTCTCTCGGGGATCCATCGCCTCCGTCGCTTCCCCAGGCAAAGAAAGTCCTTGAATCAGGGGGTTGCTGGGAAGAACGTACAGAGACACTATCGATGTCCGTGGAAAAAAAAAAAGTCAGCCAGTGCTGTGAAATGGGGATTTCGCCGCCTGGGTTTTCTCGTCTCCCCGGCTCTTCTGCTTCTCCCCCCTCCCCTTTTTTTTGTAAAAAATATATATATTATTATTTATTTAAAATAAATTCCGGACTGAAACTCGCCCTTGGGAACCCTCCGGCCTGAGCAAGAGGGCTCGCCGAATGGGGACAAGGGGGTGGTGGTGGTTTCCACCCGGGGAACGGAGCTAAGACCAGCCAACAACCCCGAAGATTGGCTTCCCTTTGGAGAAGGCAACCTTCTAGTCTCCCCAAAACTGGAAAGACCCCATTTCCTTCATCGCTGCCACCCCCACCCTCCCCCTGCAGTGCCAGGATTTTCGGAAGAGCGGGGGGGGGGGAGACAAACCTTCGCAACCTTCCTTTTTTTTTTTAACCTATCCTCCCCTGTTTTAAGCCAAGGACGTTTCCAAGATCTTGAGAAATAAAAAGCGGGGGTTGGGGGGGTGGAGCGGGGGGGGACACACGGGGTGGAAGGGCTTCCTTACCTTCTTGTTGCTCTTGTTGTAGCCAAAAGTGGCAATTCCTGCACGAGGAGGCACAGAAAGAAGCATTTTCGCTTAAATGTTAAGAGAGCTTGGAAAAGGGAGGGGAGGGGGGAAGAGAAAGAGAGAGACACACACACACTCACACAGAGAGAGAGAAAAAAGAGAGAGAGAGAGAGAGAGAGAGAGCCAGGGCTTCTGGCTTACGTCACCAAAGCAAGCCAGCTTGGAATCTAGGACTAGGGTGCCTGCGTTCCGCCAGGTCCTAGTGCCTGCCCTAGACAATCCTTGCTTTTAAAAAGAACTGGAAATGTTGGGAAACTTAAGTGCAGAAGTGAGACCATAAGCGACCTTACATGCCAAGAAGCAGTCCTCTGGCCTCTGGCTGCCCTGAAAAATATTAATGTCATATGGCTCAGCTATTCATCAGGTGTCCAACAAACTCCGGCAATGCCCCCCCCTCTTTTCACCACACAGGATGCTATATGCCAATAATTGCCCAAACCATGTTACGTGATTAATGAACACCCTGCACAGATCCAGACTAAAACCTCAGGTTGAAGTGTTGCAGAAGACTATGCCTTTATTCTG